GTAGACTTTCTACCAGGTCATTTTGAAGTTGATAACTTCAAATCGAAGTTAAGAACTTGAAATTATTACTTTTTGCTCTCTTTTGCGACCGTATTCAATTGTTATTGCAACGGATGCTTACGTACGTACGTACTGTATCGGAAGTATACGTACGGTACGTCCGAAGCTCCGAAGAAAGGAATGAGGGATCATACCATTCCTRCGTATCTATCRTAAGGTACRCTTCCTATGTATGTATCATAGGATGCATCATAAGAGGACCGAACACGTAAGAGGTCCGAGGATCGTAAGAGGTCCATGATATCAGAAATAGAATACCTCGCACGGAACAAAGATGTCAGTAGATCAGAATAATAAGAACCCTGTGTAGATTTAGTACCGAGAGCTACACGGGATATAATCAGAGCTACTGAAAGCTCACGTCGAAGCGCGAGAATCTTAATCTTATATCTTAATCTTATAATTCAATTTTCATACACACTTAACACCTACTAAAAGAGTACACGTAATCTCGTGCACAGTAATTACTCAGTGATTTTCGTGTATCAAAATTTAATCAACCCTTAAGAAAAACAACCAAAATACCACACCGACCATGGTGAACCCAAAGAAGAACTCTTCACGAAATCAACATTCGCATCAATCGTGCCTTACCCTCGACAACCAATTCAAGAAGAGTGACCTTGAAARGGTCAACATCTTTGTGGACCGCMCAGCAAGRACAGAGACAATAGCAGAAACAAGAGGAAATAATCAAAGAACAAGGGAGATTCCTGCGTTTAGAAATAAAAGAAGCTGTGTGGTCTTCTCCGGACAATATGGAGTACAGGAACTATTCCATGTGCAGGAAGCCTTTGAGGATGCAGCGAACGATTTGAAGCTAGAGGATGACGAAATAGATGAGAATTGGCTCACAGTCTTGGCACACCGGCCGAGACAGAATTGGAGCAACATGTTTAAGGGCCCTGACTGATTGAGGATAGGAAGGAACACCAGGGAACAGTGGAAACAGGCCCTTACATTCTTTCGGGAATTTTATGCGCCGTCAAAGAGAGCAAGAGATGGGGTGATTGCGTA